CTCTGCCCTTCCAAATAAGAAATGATGAAATGGAATTCTACAGTTAAGCCTCTGAGCTGAATAATACTACTTGAAAAAACTATTTTTGCTCTCTTACTTTCTATATTTTTGGCTGCTGCTTAGAGCAGGGCATGTTTTGTTTATTATCATAACACTGCTCATGATGTTCACTGCGTGGCAGTTGCAGGTTGCAATGCAGTGATTGCCAGGAGTGTTGGGACAGCAAATCAAAGCCATTAAAATAGCAGGAAACCTGTAAGCAGCTGAGACTGCTGTATTAATTTTACTTTCTCTTAAGTGACATTAATAAAAAGCTACTTTTATTTTTGCTGTTTTTTACATAGCAGCAATGCTGGTGTTCAGGAATCAAAATGGAATTTCCTACGAGTTTGCTGGAATAAGCTTCTTTAAGGAATAGTGTAGTATTTTTTGTGACAAAGCATTTTTCATATTTGATCCATTCTCAAGATTTTAGGTTGAGGAGTCATTTAATATGTTTTATTTTTTGGGATTGTACTCCCATTCCAAATACTGAATTTCAGCTGAGATGGAGAAGAGGCAGGGACGCAGCTTTATATGTGTGCAGGGGACACTTGCACATTGAGTGGCTTTGCAAACTGGGGATTCCTGGTAGGACAATAAATGACTTCTGAAAAAAGCAGTGGGGTTTTCTGTAACGCTTCTGTAAACATAAAATAAAACCAATAGTAGTGAACAGCATCATGATAAATGAAGAAAATGCCCTCAAAGGGGAAAGGATAGTTGAGGAGAAGGATAAAGAAAACAGGACTCTCCTTCTGGCTGGCTTCTTAATGGCCAGGGTACGAGCTAGGACACTTTGTGTATATTAAGTCTTGTCCCTGAAACAGCTGATAACCTTTGGATAGTGTGTCACAAGCAAGACTTAGGGTACAAAGTGTCATGAGCTCCGTTCTTGGCCATATGGAGGTAGAGGGGGCAAAAAGATAAGATGCCCATGGAAATGGGTCTCTTCTGGCCAAAGGATCAATATGAGCACTATGCTGCTGTGCTTAGGCTTTAAAAGTACTTGAGCAGAATGAGTTTTGTCTTGTTGGTCTGTCTGTTAAGATAGTCTTCAAGATAAGACACACACTCAGGAGTGTTTTCTTTTTTTATGTTTCATGCTGAATGGGTGACAATTCAATGTATTCAGTGTTTAGACAGGATTCAGGTTTATGCTGACAGACTTCTGGCAGATCAGTTTTCCATTTCCCATCATTTATACCGTCCTTGGTGCTGAGCTGTCTGTTAAGGCATGAAGGCAGGTGTGTTTTATGGAAGGGCACCGTCCTGCTGCTTTATGAGAGCTTGATATTGGAACCCTTCTGTAAGAGTAGCACGCGGTGTAAAGGGAGTACTTGTCTGAGCTCAAATAATTCAAAGGATTTTCAGCTTTTGGCCTCTTCACGTCTTTGCATAATTCATCCCTTTATTACTGTGATGGTGAGGAGTGCACTTAAAGCTGTGCAGCCTCTTTCCTTCCTCCCGTGTCCTCCAGAACAGGAGAGTCCTCAGCTCTCCTAGCCCATCCTGGGCTTTTCTTGCCTGGGGACTGGATCTAGGGTAGGGTCAACCACAGCAAAGGCCACTCAAGTGACATGGACAGGTGGGAGAGTATGGGCTGGAGGTCCCAAAGGCTAAAGCCATGGTAGGTTTAAAAGCACAGTGTGAATCTTTCCAAAACTCTAGATAAACTTGTAGCACTAGGTTGTAAAAATAAGCAGGTTGCCCATGGGTGCAGGCTGTGGATGGTGGTCACCCAGCAAGTTTTAAATCCAAATTTCCTTGGAGGCTGTGAAATGAACTGACCTGTGCAGTAAAGGAGGTTTAGAGGGGCTCTTAGTTTCCCTCCTGCTTTGAAGCTGCTTGGGGAGTGCACGTACAGGGCCCTGGTGCTCACCGAGAGCTCCATTGGCTCCTCAAAAAGAGCCTCCACCAGAGGGAGCAGACAGGAAAACATGCACCAAAAAGCAGCTCACGCCGAGGAAATAGCCATGCTTACAAATAGCCACCAATAAAACTCCCACTGACACAGTCTCAGAGCATGTTTTAGAGTTTGAACACTCAGTGTTTATTCCTGAGCTTAACGCTGGGCAGGATGCTCTGGGGAAGCTGGTGGAGGCTGCACATTCAGTGCTCCAGACACTTGCTGCATGATGGAGTTTTTACAACTTTGTTTTGAAAACAGTGAGCGCTTTGAAATCTGGCAGCTGTTTCCAGTTTCTAAGAAAGCCCAATTTGTGCTGCTTTTTGTTTGCTCTGGTTAGGGATGATGCGCTGCAGAGTGCTCTCGCAGTGCTCTCCGTAGCCTTTTAAGGATTGTCTACAGGCTGTGTGTACTCAATGGGATTCATTGGAGAAGCAAAGGGAATATTATTAAGGATGAAAGATGAATATGTTATTTGCTAATAGGCTGTGAAGAGTCTTTGTTAATAGTTAATAGCCTGGTTGTTTGATGTTTCAGGTCAGAGTCATGTCACGATGCTCTTTTGATGCTAGTTGCATCCTTATAAACAAAACTGAAGTGTAGTTTTGATTTCGTTTTTCTAAACAACACATGTATTTAGAAATGCCATTTTGTAACGTGTTTTTCTTCCTTTTTAAAGGGCTTGCCTGTTGCTTTAGAAAAGCACATCCTTGGCTTTGACACCGGAGGTAAGTACTTCCCAAAATGTTACTTTTAAATAGCCGCTTGCCTTTGACAAATAAGAACACCCGGGAATGTGCACAGCGGAAAAGCAGAGCTCTTCCAGCAGCCCGGAGCGTTGCGTGCGGGAGCACGACTCTTAGCTGGGCAATAAATGGTTTCAGGCCAGCGTTTCAATTGCAGCTTTTAGTGGCAGTCACTTTTGCGTGCAGAAGTGCATCTTCCTGCTGTGGCCGTGCAAAAACTGAATGCTGCCAGCACAGGGACCAGCCTGCTGCTTCCGTGTGTTCCAGGGAGACCGTAACCTAAACCCGATTAGAGGAAGCAGCATTTGGCTTGACCTGATGGGTTATTTTCTAAGCAAGAGTCATGACTTGAGTCTCTTCTGCTCTTCACTTCTGCCCCTTGTACAATTAAATTATGCTTCGTGCTGAGCAGACTTGGCTGTGGCTTGTTGCAAGCCCAAAGCTGCGCGCGGTTCTGCACGGAGCGCCCTGCATCTCCAGCAACACCGGGAGCAGAGGCTCCTGTTCCAAGCATGAAAAAGCATGAGCAAAGGACAGAGCATTCGCTCAGGTTGAGCTTAAGACACACAAATATCAGATGGAAATGCTTATACTGCTGCTTTCTGCCCCTCTCCTAGACGCTGTTCTCAACGAAGCCGCCCAGATTCTGCGATTGCTCCATATAGAAGAACTCCGAGAGCTGCAAACAAAAATAAACGAAGCGATTGTAGCAGTGCAGGCCATCATTGCTGATCCCAAGACCGACCACAGACTGGGGAAAGTCGGAAGATGAATAGTTTAATAGTTTAAAATTTTAGTCTGTCTACTTAATACAGTTAGGAGGAACTATGTACACCCCTGGCATGCAGTTTGGAATGGATATTTTACTGTTTGAAAGAAAACAGGAAATTAAATTCTGACTGTTCTAACGAGCTGCCATTTTTCTTTAAATAAAGTTGGGGAAATGGAGACAAATTGTTCTGATTAGCTCTAAGTTGGCAAATACAATTGTCCTTATTCGTTGTGCTTGGCTTTGTGTTGAAAAGGGAGTGTTATATAAAGGCTGTGCAGATTCCTCTCTGCTGCAGTTGTGCTATGGAGACTGTTCTGTGCTGGCTTCCTTGCCGCTTCTCCACAGCCTCCCCTCCAACCAAAGTACTTAAAATTAGATCCAGAGGGAAACTGAAAACAACCATTTTATTTAATTATTGAAGTAAGCTAGAAAAAGTGAAGCATTACAACTTAAATGGTTATTTCTGAACATGTATTGGTCTACATTGGGTAGGTCTATGAAGGCACTTAAAAAACAAGCATGAACAGATTAATTCTAGCTTATTCTTCTAATATAAATACTAAAAGACATGCATTGAGGCAGTGCTGAAAATACTGAGTTGTCTTCTGGAAAAACTCTAATACTTTTGCCATGTCACATAACTGCTTTCTGATCATACAGTCTCTGTCTTCGGGGCTGTAGATTATTTAGACCCAGCAAGATACTGCACCCAAAGCTTTCCATATGCTCTTTTTGGTTTTCAAAAAAAAAAGACCCTCTGGTCAGATTGTCGAACATTGTAAAATTGATGCACGCTGGCAAGTCGTAAGCAAGCATTTCCACGAGAGATACGTGTGCTGCTGTGCGTTTCTCTTGCAGTGCTGTGTGGAAAGAATTGTCGTTTGGTGTTTTGCTGTGACGAGCAGAGAACATGAAGACAGTGCTAGATGGAGTGGAGAAGGGAAGGACACGATGATTTGGTGTGAGTTTGATGTGCCTGACGTGGGGAAAGCAAGAAGTGCTGCCTTGCACTTGCTTTTCTTGGAGAGCTTTTTGCGAGGAGAGCAGTTGCCCAAAAGACAGCAAGTGAGCTGCGAGAGTAAGAAATGCTGTGTAAGTGCAAGTTCTTGCCTTGGGATGTAGAGGAGAGGCTTTCCGTTGAGATTCACACGACAGGAGTGGCAGAATGCTTCGGTGTGGAGTGTGCAGAAAGGAGGTGCACGTGCCCGGCGTGTTTCGGCAGAAGCATCGCTTTAGGAGCGCTGCTCTGCCGGGAACCGTGCTCTGTGCGAGAAGTAGTGGACAATTCGCGTCTGGTACAAGGAAAGCGCGAAAGTAATGGCCTAAGATTCCCAGGACCATTTTCTGTAATATATCAATGTTTTTCATTAAAAAAAATACAGTAGTACAGACTTGAGGTATAACTTCACAAATAGCTGATAATCATTTGCAGGAAAGTAGGTCACTTCGTTGGCCTTCGTTAAGGGTTTTTCCCCTTAGCTCTATGCAGTGATGATTTTCTGGGTCTCATGTTCTTGTGGTTATAGGGATCGTCGTTACTTGAAGTAGTAGTTACTATTTTCTTGCTGCAGAGAGAAATGGGTATTTTTTAAAATGCATTTTTAACATATTAATCAAATAACGGGTGTCAGGCAAAAGTTATTAATGTTTTTACCTCCAGGGCAGTAGGGATAAACTGCAGTTATTCCATAAAGATGTGATCGCTGCTCTGGAAGATACTCATCGGTAAAGGCGCCGGTATCTTTATTGACAGCTATCACACCATCCCTATGGATAAAGAGGGAAAAGGGCTTTAATCGGCTGTGAAACACGTTTGTTTTTCCCTCTCTCTGCATTTAAGGACAGAGCATTGGAACTGCCCTAATCTTGATGTTTTCCATCTCCAAGACTTTCAGCAGGGGAATGTGCCCCAGACCATCTCCGTGGTCAGCGCGTTGCTCCGCTGGGAAAGGCGGGATCGCGCGGCCAGCGCTTCCAAGGAGCAATTATCCTCGGCGAGGCCAGAGCCTCAGCGTTTATTGCCATCTGCCCGCATGGAAGCCCTGAGAGCTTCCAGCTGGAGCCGGATAGAGGCGAGTCCCTGACCCCGCTGCGAGGACTCGGACGTGGGAGCGAATCCCGCCTCGCTCCGCACGCGGAGAGCGGCGCCGAGCTCCCGTTCCATCCAAGGCTCCCGCCGCCGGAAGCGGCGCCGCGCTCGCCGGGCCGTCCCCGTGCCCTCACCGGCGCCAGTCGGTGTGGTAGAAGTGGTCCGCGTAGCTCACGATGCTGAAGGGGTAGTTGAGGTTGTTCTGCACCACGCGCCTGCCCGTGCCGTCCGGGAGCGTGCACTCCAGGTGCTTCGTTCCTTTTCGAATCCACAATAAATATATAAATATTTTATATATATATAAATAGAAGTGTGCCCTCGTGGCCAAGAAGGCCAATAGGATCCTGGGGTGCATTAAAAAGAGCATCTACAGCAGGTTGAGAGGCCACATTTGGAGTATTGTGTCCAGTTCTGGGCTCCACAGG